CGACGGTACGCCGACAATGCTGTCACGTTAGCCGGCTCGCCGAGAATTGCGGCACTGTTCGCGTTCGCCGACTCACACGCACGACAAATGTCCACCGCCCTCTGCAGCGTCAGCTTCGGCTCATGCAGCATACGCTTCAGCGCCTCCTCGTCACGAATGCCGACCACGATCCTGTCACGGTACTGATCGTCAGCACACTTATCGCAAAAGTCACAATACGCGGCGATTTCCTTAATAGACGATACAAAATCGTCGAACGTCTCATCCGGTTCTTGCACTCGCGAGTAGAAGTCTCGTCTGTCGAGGATGATGCTGCGTTGACCACGCAGATGAGCCTCCATCGTGTCGATCACTGTCTTCAGGTCGGCTTCCGAAGGGATCTGGAGGCTATATCGCAGCGTTCGCGTCCACTCGTCGTCGAGCAGTGACATCAGGGCCGCCTTCTGCTCCGCGATAGGCAACATCTCCAGGTGAGTGAGGAGCCTGAAGTCGTCGAACTTCTGGCGCCACGTGCCGAACTCCTTGAGGGACGCGGAGGAGGTCAGGTGCGGCGTCGAGATAGCGCTCGACGGGAGTTTCGCTGGCGTTGCAGCGGGCTGTCTGCTCTCGGTGACGGCCGTCTCGCTCCGTGCGATCGGCTGTTGCACCTGGTTCGCCAGCGCCCGCTCAAGCATGGTTGCGAGTCGTTCCTCCCGCTGCGCCGCCTGCTCGGCGAGCCGCTCCTCCCGCTGCGCTGCCTGCTCCGACTGCTGGGCCAACAGCGCCGTCAGGCGCTCGAGTTGTGCGTTGTCCGCCATCACTGACGCGAGCGATCCGACACGGCTGCACGTAGTTCAATGTATCTCGGAATCGGTGTCGCACGCTACCGATCACACTACCGACCGCGCCATGTTCTGTTCTGCGCCCGCCGGATCCTCAGTCCGCACTGACACGACACGCACCGCTCTGTACGTATATTGCCGGCTCGGACGGCACGCACACCTTGACGGCTCGCTCGACACTGCCCGCTCTCCGCCGGCGCCGGCCGGCGGCCGCTCGGCGGGCCAAGGCCGGGCCCTTCTCATAACGGGGGGTGCGGGCCCGTATCATAACAATATGGAGCCAGTGTAGCAAAAAATAGCATTTATGGCCTGCTTCCAGTTATTAGCTCTGACTTTGGAATTGATTGTTGATTTATTTTGCAATTTTTAATGTATTCTGGCTGAGACTATTTTATGGATCATTCCATAAAACGCATGACATTCTGGTGTTGGTTGCTGGGTACTAATTGGTGACGGTTGATCTGCAGGTAAGTATTTTTTTTCTTTTGTACCTTACAGATTTTAAATGCTTACGTTGTTGCTTCTTCCTTTTTGTGTCCAATTTTGTATTTTATATAATAATTTATAACTACTCCCCCTATGTCGCAAACATTTCTCGTTGCGTGCCTTTTTAACGCACATTTACGCAAATAAATTAACTGCCTTTTTACGGTGCAATATGATAATAAGGTAACAGACGCATTGTGAGCGTACAGTGCCCCTATCACGCCATTCCCGTCCTCGTGCAGCTGCGTAACTCTGCGGACGGCCGGTGTCTGGACACGATGGGCCAGCCGGCGCCCACCAACATGGGCGTCTCGCCGTGCCACGGCTACGGCAACAACCAGCTGATCCGACTCAACTCGGCCGGCCAGCTGGCCGTCGGCGAGCGCTGCGTCGAGGCCGACGGGCACACGGTCAAACTGGCCTTCTGCCGGCTCGGCACCGTCGACGGACACTGGCAGTACAGCGAGGTGGGTGGCGACGAACTACGACGTTTCGTTGGGATGGATGGAGGGGTGGGGTGGAATATAAGTGTCTTGTGGGTCGTGATGTTGCCTTTTATGTTATGCGGCAGTAGCTAGTTTGTCGATGGTGCCCTAAGTTTTCCGAGTCTATCCCACTCTATCGCTTCGGTCAAAAGGTGTGTGTTCCTTTTGAGGGCTTCCGTTGATATTTTACCTCCCATTTTTTTTTCAGACGAGTCAGTCCATGTTCCACCGTCGTTTGAAGAAGTGCATGGCGCTGGACCCAGGCTCGGGGCAGCTGAAGATGCTGGACTGTGATGAGCGCGACAGCTACAAGAAGTGGCAGTGGAAGCAGCTGACGCCCCGCTGGTGATCGGACTCGGTGTGATGGTCCCGGGACTGAGTTTCGTTGTGAAGGCTGAGACAGGAAGGCTGAGACTGATACTGCAGCCGAGTTCTGAGCTGTGTTCCAAGTGAAGCTGACCGTCTGTGCCTCGATTTTGTTGGCGGCCTTGTATCGGAGCGGTCAGGAGTGTGCTGGGACATCCCGTGCAGGGGACCACCACCGTATGCTGACCAGGCCGCAGTCTGACCCGGGCCGGCACTCCCCACATAATTGAGGTGACGCCTTCCTCGCCGCTGCGGTCTGCGGTCTCGGTTGCCGGCCGGCCGGTCCGGTAGCTGTGGCACCGCGGTGACCCGGCTGGTCGCTGCGGCGGCCGCACCCCGTCCTCTATCAGCCTGCCGACCTGTCCGGCCCGGCGGCCCGGATCTCAGCGGCTAGTCCGGGCTGCGGTCCCGCCTGCCGTCACGGCAGCGGCGGCGGATACCACCCTGCAGGACGGGGCTGGCGACCCGCTCAGACGCTCCCAGGAGCGACTCGGCGACAAACCGCCCGGCTGAGTCTAGCTGTGGGCAGGAGGGGAGGGTGGACCATCTGGACTCTGCGGTAACACCTAACGGCACCGCACGCCGAGAAATTATGTGATCCTGTCACTGAGACTGTCGCTAGAAGTTTGTGCAGTGGTTTCAGTGGCTATAAATCTACTGAGCCTCCCAGTGTGTGAGCAGTGCGATAGGACGTCCTATGGAGGTTAGCGCTGCGAGGCGGTCACTGCGGCACAACTGGGGTGGGCACTCCGAGTGTGTTTTACGCTGGCGGTGATTTGGTGGGGAGGAGACGCGCTGAATGTCGTTCAGCGACATTTGAGTGCCGTGACATGAATTTGAGTGATGTTAATGAACCAAGGGCTCAACTCCGTGGTAGATATTGACGTGATTGCTTTGGTGTTTGTTCTTGCGTCCTGGGACATGGGAGAGGCTCCATCTAATGTTGAGCTGAAAGAGCATTCCTCGTATTTGTCCGCTACTTTGTGCTGTTCTGGAGGCCAGGCTGTTGGCAATGCCTGGCTCGAGTGTTATGACGGGAGTTGTATTTTTCACATTGTTGGCTTCCCACTCGTTGATAGAATACTTACGATTTATTATTGTTCTAAGTGTTGATGTTGATGTTTCCAAACTATATAGGGTATCTCCCAAAGATAACGAGATAGTTATATTACGGACGGACTCAACCATATTGAATTTAACATTATGCTTCTGTTTTGTCTCCATTGTGACCAATGAACTCGATTGGAGGTTTTATGGGACTGCTGTGCCGTGCATCTTGTTCTGTTACGAGTGATGAGCACGACTTGTGGCGATATACTATCTGATACACCGTTCCATGTGTGCCGCAACAAATTACCGCTGTGCATCAGACGGATGTGGTGACCAAATAAAGGTGCTGGGAAAGAGTTATCTCTTTTGTATTGACGCAGCGCGAAGTTATGGGTGGATGATTTGTCAAATGGAATGTGTTAAAAGCACGGCTTATATTGTTCGAGGTAACCTGCTTGAGTAGCATGCAGAAACATGCCTACACCGGGCATCGCACAAGAATCAGGAAAACTCCTTTTCATGAGATGTTGAAGCTTTCTTCCGGCTCACAGTTTTTAATGAGGTAGTTGGAAGGAGCAAGGCGAGAGACTGCACTGAAAACGCGTCGCGGGGATCGCACCCAGCTAGGAGCCGATGCGCCATCAGGGCCTCTCCGATTGCGTTCCCGACTCCAGTGGCCGCAATCAGCGTGCCCGGCCAACTCTCCCGTCGTCTGTTTTCCTTTGTTCATTGCCCAATGCCCAAGACCATAGCCGTCTGAAAGTTGACGACAGTCCCACGAGCGGCGAACTCAGCTCGGCTTAGTGTTATCTGTCCCACATCACCTAATTATGTGGGTCATTAGCAATCCTGATCAGGGCGAGCTATTTAGTGCACGTCCCTCTACTGGCGCTGTTGCCGAGTGTCAAGTGATCGATAACTAATCCGTTCATGTTCGCTGCCGAGGCTGGTGTCGAAACCCTTTTGCCAATCGGAGGATCTCCCCGACAGACTTGCAACTATCTGCCGCTGGCTGACCTTTTGTGTTCCTTTTGCTAGACCCTTTCCAGCATGTAACTTGGTACAGTAGCGGCGGAACACCTTCAATTAGGGGGGGGGGGGGCACTGCCAACTTTTGGTCCCATTCTTTCCATGCAACGCCCATAGGGCTAATGTTAAAATGCCAAAATCAAAGAGGGGCACGGTGCTCCGGTGCCCTCCCCGTTCCGCCGCCTATGACTTGGTAATGCAGTTTCTAAGGGTCTTTTTTACGTAACCTTATGTTGTTATCCCAATATCTCGGGGTCTCGTTGCATTATTTGTTGCCACCAGTTTGAGTCGTTTCCCACTTCTATCATCGCCAGACCGACCAGGTCCACAACTAAAACCGTCAGCCTTTGTCGCAAACCGGTCCGGTAAGATCTTCATGTCACCCCTCCCCCTCCCTCAGCTCTCCCCTCTCCCACGGTTCCTCCGAGTTGAGCGACTTCTGGTTCTCCGGACAGGCATGGTAGCCGAGGATTATAATTGTTATCGGTGTTTTAATAGTGTCCCGTGCATTAGCGGGTTGTGGTATTCTTACATACGTTATTTTATAACGGGGTAATTTGTGATTCAACGTTTAAGGCGCGATCAGCCATCATGTTCAATGTTCATCATTTGAAGCCTAATTGCTTGCTACAGACTACAAAGTGACGATTGAGCCAGGTGTTGTTTCACGACTGAGGAATGGATACCGGCATAAAGCTGTTTCATTCATTGTCTAGTTGGATCGCATCATAAAAGCAGTTAGTTTTGCACTGGTGTATTCTCATCGGACTCTCAAAGGAGTCGGCAAACAAACACAACACGGCACATCTTATCGCCACAGGCGGCATCGCTAGTGGTGGCCCGCCACGTGAACTCACAAAATGAGTTTGTCTTTCCTCCACGGATTACCACTTATATATATATATATATATTGTAATATGATATCTATTTTTATTCACGACCGGTCCCAGCGCCCAGCGCCCCCGGTCCCTCACAGTAGACCCCAAACTCTCAGTTTTTCATATTTTCGACAATCCAGTCCTTGTAGTCGGCCACGCGTGTGTACACGTCCGGTACGTTCTGCGTCCCGCACGTAGCCGGACCGAACGACACCACTCCGACGAGCACCCTCGGCTGGCCGGGCACAGCAGCCGCCATCAGAGGGCCGCCGGCGTCCCCTGCGCATGCGCCGCGACCCTTCTGCCCTCCGGCGCACAGCTGGTGCGGACCAATCGCCGTGCGGAAACGCTGGAACGCTTTGACGCACTTCTGGCTGTCCACCACGGGCACGTGCAGCTCTCGAAGGGCGTCATTGGGTACGCCGACTGCCGAAGGGAAGCGATGTTAGGCCCAATGACACCCCGGCTGTGCGTTTGGGGTGAATGACTGATGGGGCTGTAGTGTGCTCAATAGGAACGGTGTACGAGAAGTCTGAGAGTCATTTCTGTTAGATGACTGTGCAATAAAAAGAAACTGGAAGGAAGTAGGAACTAGGAGCAGCCGTGCTGCTGATATTTATACAGGGTGTTCCAAAAAAGTGAGCCCCTAACTAACATTGCTTATATCTCCAAAACCGTATGTGCTACGATAATGAGAGACCCCTTGTTGGCAAGAACGGCCAATTTCGGCTCTAATAGGCTACCTAGTGTAGCTCTAAATGAATACGTATTACACCGAGAGCGACCAGAACAAAAGGTGTTGCGAGATCGGGTGAAACACGGCGAAGAATGAGATGTTGTCGATCTTAATTGGGGGGCTCACTTTTTTGGAACACCCCGTGCTTACTACTCGTAAGGACATCTGATTAACAGACCGGTAACCGTATTTCAAACCCCGCCTGCCGTCCTGCACCGCCCGAGCCATCACTCACTGGATCCGAATCCGGCGAGTGTCACCGTCTTGCCGGTGATGTTTCTGCGCACGGACGGGTCGAACGGAAGACAGATGGGCCGCACGAACTCTGCCAACACAGCCGAACGGCTTGTCATCGGTACACCGTCCATCACATCAGACCCAGCCATGCATCATGGCCTGTCTCTGTATCGCTGATCACGAGTCATGTATCATGGGCTGTCCTCGTGTGTCAAGACACTGTTTGAGGTAAATGCCAATTCATCTTTGCACGGCGCAATTGAATGTTGTAGCTGCCGTAACTCTTTGAATATGTATTTATCCGATCGGTTACACGGCGCTCTGCTAGCTGCTGCTGTGGTCATTGTTTGAGGGGGATTAAATAATCCTCTCTTCTGCAGAGCCAAGGTAACGCGTGCTCGGCATGCTAAGCGCCATTGCGATAACGGATGTGCCGCAGCCGTGAGACGGTCGCCGCCGGGCGATGTATTTAATCACGTCACGTCAGATGACAATGACATTAGTCGACACGGGAACAGGCCTCCACTAATAAGAGCTATGCGGAGACTGGGCGGCACAGAGTTATAATATGACACTGATCCGATTATCATACTGGAGACAATCAAAACACGCCACTTTTGCCGTCCCTGAATGTGTATGATTCCTGACCCACCCCATGGAACTCGTTGCTCTCCAAAAACGGAGCTAATACATTACAGACATCTTTATATGGTGCTTCGCCCTGAGTGCTTCCGAACCTTTCAACGAGCCACTAGTCGTGAGACCTTGGTAAAGTATAGCGTCGGTAAAGTTTCAACCTGACCTCCCTAATTAGGGGACCGTGTCCACAGGGTCGTCAGCTCTGTACCCACCTGACCGCTCCACGGGTCTGTCGAGCCGCACCAGGGCGATGTCGTTGTGGTACTGCCGCGGCCTGTGGTGCTCCGGGTGCGGGATCACCTCCTCCACGCCAAAGTCCTGCACCTCGTCAGAGCACACCTCGCCAGAGGGCGTCTGGGGGGGGGGGGGGGAGGGGGGGGGGAGGTTCAAAGCACGCCTCACGACGATTTGTGGGGAGGGAGACGTCAGTCTACCGGACGTCTCTAGGGGAGGGGAGATTGCAAATGTCTCTCGCTCTTGGAAGATGGATCTGTTTCATTATTTATAAATGACTCCCATCGCTCCTGGTTATAGCCTCGCCGGGGGTCTGACGGCAGAGCTAAACCATTTAGTGAGCGATCACCAAATAACTATGTAAATCATTATCAATGGCGCTCATATGCATTGCGTGTGTACGAAAAAGTGTGCTGCAATGATACGATAAAAGCAGAGAAAATGCCAAGCGATCGGGGGTAGCATCGATTGGATGTTAGGATTGCAGGTTGAAATAATGTTCCAATGCAACTGATTCATGCTTTCAGGGCTGCTGCATATCATGCATTCATCCATGTCTGCGCTAAGACGAACAAGCTGACCTTCAATATAATCACCGTATTGTCTTCTCTCTAAACGGCGAAAGAGCTAGGTATCCAAGAAACCAATCTGTGCGGACATACCCTAGTTACCATCAGTAGCGGCTGAACCCCTTCAATTAAGGGGGGGGGGCACTGTCGACTTTTGGTCCCATTCTTTCCATGCAACGCCCATAGCGCTAATGTTAAAATGCCAAAATCAAAGGGGAGCACGGTGCCCCGGTGCCCTCCCCGTTCCGTAGCCTATGGACTTACCATTCCTCTCCAAAGATTCCACGGTGCCGATTCCCGTCGCTCATGGCTCTCTCATTGAATTTGACCTCGTGGAAAATGAAATAATCGAGAAACTTCTTTCACTGTAAGGTAGCCCCTTTCGTAGTGAGCCAGTCTCCCCCTTCTCTCCCTCCCTCCCTCCCTCCCTCCCTCTCACCTCCAGACAGTCCCTCTCCGTTGTGATGTTGTGCTCCCCGAGTCGGACTGCCGTCATGGCCAGGTCCTTGGGCAGCCGGCTGACACAGTGGGCTGCCGTCAGCACGTACCGCTCCGTGATCAGGGTGCCGCCGCAGCTGTACACCACGCGCTTCGACTTCTTAGAGCGTCCTGGAACGCATAGTCGTAGATAGTAACTGACAAACTTTGCAGATGGCAGGTATCCTCGGAGCTTCGTTCCCTACTTATATTGTAATGAAAAACTTACGGAGCCCAATAGTTTGCATGAACATTGCAATTTTAGACATGAACAATGCCGACTGTGCTCGATTTTTATTTCAGTGATGGATATATCACACTTGTGTTTACCAACATGGCCGCTTAGGTTGTAGCTCATAAGAGCAGCTGAGCTCTCAGCTAAAAGGTCCGATCTACTCCAACTCACTGGTGTAACCGAGCCTCGCCATCCACGGGTACTCTCCGAGGTGGACGGCCTCCTTGGTGGGCTCCGCGCTGGGTACGTTCACCCCGCACCGGGTGTCGACTGCTGAGGAAGCGGCAGTCTTGGTGACTGGCGGTAGGTAGCCGAGGTCCTTCGGGTCCAGCAGCACCACTGAGGGAGCGGGAGGCATGGGCGGGGCGGGGTGGTTAGCACTTAGCACCGCTCACTGGGGGGACGGCTAGCAACGGTAAGGGGAGGTTTGAAAAGAAGACGGGACGTTCAGGACCACTAGGGGACTTGCATAGGTGATAGGTAGGTATACGGGAACGGGACAGTCAGGAAAAGGACCATCGAGGCGGGAGGTAATATATAAGGAGACGACAGGGTCGGCAGTTAGTCATGGTCGCAAACCTAAGGTGTCATGTTTTTAAATCACCATAATCGGTTTACTGTAATTAAGTCGTCGGCCTGCGCGCCGTTCCGGCTTACGTAAATAGTAGTTTCGGCCCTCACTAACACCGGACCACAATTCCATGAAATCCTCACATCTTATGAGGCTGCTGTATGCGGTGTTTGCACCGGCCAATAACGAGTGTAATCCTATTTGTTTCTGCAGTGACTGTGAGTCGTTAGAACACCCGGTGACCGCAGAGCTGCGACCGGGTGCCGAGATACGGGTCTTAAGAGGAACGGCGGGCTCCCCTTTACCACAGCACGCCGAACTTAAAGGTAGTGTGCCAGCTTTCTTGGACCGTATGGAGTTAATGGCCCAGATAAGGAGAACCGGATTTTTAGAACTTATCCATACCTTCAAAACTCATGGAAACGTCTTAAATTCTTCAAATTTTGAGTACCCCAGTGCGAAATTCGCCCCGACGGGTTGTCGGTCGTACCCCAACCACATTTCACACCACTATGAACAATAAATGCACACACTGAAATCGCTATTACCGATATGCTCATCCAATCAAGTTTCGATAAACCCGTTCATCATCAGCTCCTGCGGTTTCGAACACGCCTGTTAGGTGGTGCGGTAGACCACGCCCAAAGCCAGGGCCCCGGTAACGTGAGGTAGCCGAGTCAGGGCAGCGTGCGCTGACCCAAGCCGGAGCCGCGCGTCCTCCCGGTGTCATGTGATAGCCCGGGGCTGCCCGCGGGGATGCGGTAGACCGCGCCCAAAGCTGCGGCCCCGGCTTGGGTCAGCGCACGCTGCCCCGACTCGGCTACCTCACGTTACCGGGGCCCTGGCTTTGGGCGCGACTTCTGCTCATACTTTGTGGTGCGGTGGTGGTGCGTCGGGCTGCGCGCTCTGACTTCGGCCAAGAAAAATGCGTCAGCTGATCATTGTCATTTCTGCCACTTGCGTGTGGTGAAATGGGGTCATAACTTATAAGACGGCTTTTTCATATCAATTATTTTACATAAAACCATATTTCAAACCAAAAATTATGTTCGACAGCCAAATAAAAGAAACAATACCAATACGGGCTTACAGTTTAAGGCTCGACATTGTGTTGTCTACGATTAGACAGCTGATAACTCATTCCCGTACGTCGTATGGTCGTAATACTATAATGACCTTTGCTTATTGTCAAAGTGCGCCGCATTCGTGATTGTTGCCCGACGCCTGTTTGCAGGTGAGCCCACTACAGTTGTTATACATATCTAAAAACCGATAAACTTTTAGGCGAAAAAGGCACTATTCCAGGCCCATTTTTGATTTTTTTTTGCGATATTAGGTAAAAACAGAAGCTTCTTATCCTAGGAAAAATAAAATGGGAAATCTTTCAAAGGTGGCACACTACCTTTAATGTGAATTTATACTTATAGACGAGAACACATTTATCATTTTGATAGTGTCATATTTACAGTGAGAATAAGCTGACAGCACGGGTGGAGAATTAGGGGTTTTGGGGGTCAGGGGCGGATCCAGGAATTTTCGGGAGGGGGGGCGGCAAGTCGAAATAGGGGCGACCTGGCAATCCGGGGGCGCTCCAAACTAAGGGGGCGCCAAACCGTCAAAATCGGGAGCTAAAAGCCCGCGCCGTGCTAGGGGGCGTTATCGCGCTCCCCCTCAGGTTTTTCGCAAATATCTGAAAAACGGCTGCGCGCAGCGCCGCCATTTTCAGCATACCTTATCATGCATCTTTTTTGCACATGTTGTAAAAATGTCTGACGCGGGTGATGAAAGGTCAGGTCACCAGGTTATGCCAAGTGACCTAGCCTAAGAAAAAGTTCAAATGCTTACCATTGCTATACCGACTGAACGATTGCTTTGAACCTTTCAGCGATTGATGAAAGCAACACTATTCATGAAATGTATATCTCGGAATTTCGATATCTGTGACCTAAGGTCAGGTCAGTTGTGCGACGTCTCCATTAGGTAGGTAGGTATAATTAAGTCTTTGGGAGAAAACTGAAAGGCATCTCTTTTGGACGAGCGCCATTCTAAACAATATCAAGCATTGGGATACATATAAAATTAACACACTGAATAAGAACATTGCACCTAGTGTGACCACTCATTATGTCCCAGAGGTCATCCCATGTCATGAAAGGTCCGCAGCAGTTTTTTTTAAAATAATTTTTGATAGATTCAAGCTAGAGCGATAAAAACACCTCAGCTGTGTTCAGCTCGACGATACGCATCGACTGCTATGCAGCATGACCTTTCCCGGTCAGGTCATGACCTTGACCTGAGGTCAAATTCTCAAAATTACTCTTCATAAGGTCAACCTTTAGTTTGTTCGACGTGTCTCGACGACAGAAACGCAATGCTGGCAAACGTAATGTCGAGACTCCCTTGAGTTAAAAGTTATTGCAGGAAAACATTGTTCGTAAAAAGGCTATTTTTAGAGTCTTTTGCCCTCTGAAGGCTAAACCGTTGACCTGAGGTCAAATCTGAGCGCAGCTTGCAGAAACACCTTTAAAAGGGCTATCGAATGCGCTTTTCTGCGGCGTTATAGCTCTATTGGTTTCCGAGTTATGTGCCGCTGCTTCGAAAACGGAAAAATGTTGAAACAGGCAACGTTTTACCTTTGATGACCTCTGGTGACCTGACATTCGACCTGACCTAAGAAATGACCGTTTTGTTTTCGTCCTGTTTTTGACGATCTTTCGAATGCCGCTTATCGCGTGTCACTACGCGGCCCAGGAGCCGAGTTAGACGAGGGAGTGTGCCCCCCCCCCTCCCCAGCAGGACACGGAAAACTCAGACCACCAGCACGGCACGGGTTAAAAGTCGTAGATGGGCACCGCTACCCTAGCAAAAGATATTAGCAAAAAGGTGACCTCCATTTACTGGTGCAGTCCTCCTTCTCCCGGTGATGCCCCCTCCTTTTTCTGGAAGCGTCTCACTTCTGCTGGTATGCCTCACTTCCCGGGGGCGCCCAACCTCTGCTTGGATCGCCTAATCCATTATGGAGAGACCCACTTTGCTTAAGTCGCCTCATTTCTTCCTTCTAAGAACAACCAATTTGCTGTAGGCGGCCCACTTATCCGGGACGCCCATCTTCTGCTAGAAGTGCCCCTCTTCTTCCTGATGCGTCCCACTTCTACTACAAGTGCACCTTTTCTGTTAGGGCGCCCCTTTGCTGCTGAGGAGTCTTTTCTACTGTGAATAGGGCGGCCCTCTCCTGTTTGGCGACCCCAAATTCTGCTGGAGGCGCCCCACTTCTGCCCAACTTTTGGTGGGGTGCCCCTCTCTTGCAGGGGGCACTTCTCTTTTGCTGGAGACGCCACTCTTGTGGGGGCGCCCTTCCATTGCGGGGAACGTCTCTCTTCTGCCAGAGGCACCCCTTTTCTTCTTATGGGGCTCCTGTTTTTTCTGGGGCGAGGCGACCCTCTGCTGCTCGGAACGGGGCACACCTCTCCTTTTACTGGGGCACCGCCCCTCTGCTGGGGTTGCCCTTCCGCTGTCGTCAGGGGCGCCCCTCTTGGTAGAATATACTCCTTTTCTTTTTGTAATGGGGCGCCCCTCTTCTACCGGGGGCGCCCATCTGCTGCTGGGGCGTCTGTCTTCTGCCGGATATTGTCAATGGGGCGCCCATATCCTGTTTGGCGGGCCCAACCTCTGCTGGAGGCTGCCTATTTCTGATTAACTTTTGCTGTAGCGCCTCTCTTCTGCTGGGGCGCCCCTCTTCTGCTTGGGGCGCCCGTCTCCTACTGGAGACCCCTCTCTTCTGCTGGGGCGCCCCTCTTCTGCCAGTGGCACCCATTTTCTTATTATGGGGCTCCTTTTTTGCTGGGGCGCCCAGCTGCTGTCAGGGCGCCCCTCTTCTCGGAATGGGGGCGCCTCTCTCCTTTTGCTGGGGCGTCGCTCCTCTTCAGGGGGACACGTCTCCTGCTAAGGGTGCCCTTCCGCTGCCAGGGGCGCCCCTCTTGAACAGAAGGTATTTTATATTCTTGTAACGAGACGCCCTCTTTCTGCTGGGGGCGCCCATCTGCTGCTGGGGCGACTCTCATCTGCTGGGAATAGGCAATTGGGCGTCACCCTCCTGCTTGGTGAGCCCAGCTTCTGCTGGAGGCGCCCTATTTCTGCTGAACCTTTGCTGTGTCGCCGCTCTTCTGCTCGGGGCGCCCTCTCTGCCGCGGGATATGGGCGCCTTTTTCGTATGGCGGGGGGGGGGGGGGGGGCGGCCGCCCCCGTCGCCCCCCCTGGATCCGCGCCTGTTGGGGGTGCTCAAGCACCCCCTGAAATTCAAAGGTCACCATATAATAGTGCTCCAGTGGTTGCTTAAATTACGTCTGAGACACCAACTGCTTTGCGTAAGCCACGAGAAGAGTGATGCTGTCGGGAAAGCGTACTTATATGTGCTTTTCCACGCAAAAATTCGACGTTTCCATTCGCCAGGTGCTGAAAAGCACCCCCTGGGAATACGACAATTCTCCGCTCCTGGCTGACAGTGAAAATATATTGCGGTTTTTGTGTCAGGGTGTCACTCATAAATGTGACTTATGTAATATACAAAGGCTTGATAAGGCTGAGTCGGATTTTGATTATTTGGAACCGTCCCAGCCAGGGTCTTATACTGTTCCGGGTAGGGCGTTATATCGTTCCCTTTTTACTCTAATCAGCAAATGTTTTAATTCAGCCGCTCATTGTACCTCTAAGCTCATCTCAATCTCATTGTTCCTTACCCTCGGGCGGTTGTCCCGATACAGCTGGCCAGGCTGTCCAGCAGGCAAAACAGGTCAGCAGCAGACGAGACAGCATGGCAGTGCTGAAAATAACAGACAATACACATCAGACAGGGAAGAGAATAGACACGGAGGGACAACATATATGTGTCGATGTCACCGCTGAAACACGGGAGCTCATCACGTCAAATGGTAATCGCCGTTTATTGCCAGCTGTGTTGGTTCGCTCAGCGGGTGCGGCGTTACGGCGGTAATTCTATAGGAGGTGGTCTGACCGGTGACAGGGGAGAACGAGTCGGCAGGGGAGCCCGTCAGAGCCCCCTCCACTCCGCTCCAGGGAGCTATCTGTCCGCCCGGCGCCGCCGGCGGATAAATTAAACACTGACGGCCTTCCGTGGATCTGCCGGGTGGCGGTGCCCGCGGCGGTACAGCGCGGAGTTAGAGCAGAGACGGGGACTCGTCTCCGCGCCGGGCCCCCGTGCCTGTACGGCGGACTGCCCGCCGCTAAATCCCCCGTATAAACGACTCCGTGCCGCGCTGTGGCCTTCGGTACGGAGATGGGGGAAACGTGACTAGATGGGTGAGCGGACAACAGCCGAGTGACAACGCCGGGTGACGGGGGTAGACGGTGGGTATGAATGAACTTAATTAGTGGTTTATCATGGTTGGAATTTATATGCCTACTGATGCCTTATGCATGTTGAACCAGTAATGAGTCACACCGGCGAGTTTGAAAGATCCTCTCATTTCGAAGCTTTTATTTTATTTGTTGTTTACAAGCTACAGCATTGCTATTTTGAAACAATGTTGAAAATGACCGATTGACTCATATTCAAACTGATTGACTCTATAATCAAACTCTTGTGGATGGCTTAACTTTCCCGTAAGTCTTTCCTTATGTCCCGTCCAAATAGTCTCCGAACTAGTTCTTCTGAATGCTTGAGACGAGGTGTTAGTATCACTGATGTTAGTTGTCGGACTTTCGTCCCCGTCTTGAGTTGAGATGTTAGTTTCACAAGTTGAGATGTGAAACTAACATCTCAACTCAAGACGGGGACGAAAGTCCGACAACTAACATCAGTCTCCGAACTCTCGGTCCGCACCGTCCATGACGTACAGTCCGTCCGTTCTGTCCCATTCTGTTCCATTACTCAGTACGTCTCGCCCGTATGAGTCCGTCTTTGCCGAACAGTTTCCCCGTCCGTCCTTCTATCTGCTTGGGCGACACGTTTGTCTACCCATCGGATCGGTTTCGTCCGAAAATCGTCTTTCAGATATCTCAACAATTCAAACGAAATTTGTTTAAATACAGCAAATAACTTAATGAAAAATATTCGTTCGCTGTTTGACAACAGGTCAGCTCTGAGGGTGAGATCAGATCAGACAGTGACTACCGTACGCTGCTGCACTGAACTCCGATAACAAGCAGAAGCCATGACTGTCTGAAGTACCGTGCATATACGGTACTCCAGTATGCTGGACTGACTGTGCTGAAGTGTCCCATGGACTGACCGCTGGAGCGTCCCGAGAACTTACTGCTGGAGTGTCCTGAGAGGTCCGCCGCTGGAGTGTTCCCTCTGTGCAGGAGCCGGCTCCGACCCCGTGCCGCCTCTCGTGGTGACCGCCGCGGCTCGCTCGGTGTCGTCTGCTGCGCTCCTGCCTCTGCGGCGTCCCCAGACCGAGTGATCAGGGAGAGGAGCCGTCCAGAGCACCAGCCCCCTGCCCCCTCCCACCCAACCAGCTGTCCGGCCAGCTCCGCGGCGCCGAACCACGGCCTCGTCAGATCGAACCAATCGGCCGCCGGACCGGGACACGGTAGGTAAATAAAAATACGGACCGGGGCTGAGCCGGCCATCGAGATGCAATCTTCCAACGCTCGTAATGGTGTTAGTGAAGTTTTTTTAACCCGGCAGTTGCTGGGGTATTTCGCCACCCACCGTTTGCTGGGGGGGGGGGGGGGGGGCGTTAAACGCCCCCAGCCGATAACTCGAGAACCAATAGGCGCAGCGAAACGCACGAGGCGGCAAACGAAAGAGCGCGACGAGACGCTTCAGATGAGTACTTTAAAGTTGAATTTTGAGGTCACAGGTCGGGTCAAGGTCAGGTCAAACACCTGAAATCGGGCTTTCAGTAGCATGGACTTCAGGACTTTGCAATGGGCGCCTCTCGTCATAAACTCTGTCAAAACGGTGCACAATCCTTCATATAAAGCCTACAAGAGTGTCAGTTCCATGTAGGGGTCAGTCAAGCATAGGTCAGGGTCAAGGTCAGGTCAACCGGGTAGGCACATATCCCCGAAAATCAAAACTGATATTTGCAGCCTGTGACACATGTTTTGTGGGTAATTTTGGGCGTAGAACACGATGGTGACATTCATTTTATCATATGTGTACGTGTTTGGTTCAAAAAGTCCAATTTTAGAAATGCATGTAGCATGGTCGTGAAGTTGTCACGAGAAATGCCAAGATTCAGTTCAAGATTTTGGAAAATTCGGAACAATAATCAATAGTCGAAGATAGCTATTTGATTGTTCATGGTATTGGCAGTCTAATGACGTTTACGGCATGTCAGTTTGTCTATTTTGTGATTTTATATGATTTTTTGAACATATGCCGTTTTTTGTCGAAAACTCAGAAATCATGACGTCACTAAAACCTCGATATCTCAACAATTTTCCGACCGATTTTTTTGAAACTTTGTCACAACAAACTTCAATCAATTCCCTACAGGTACCCAAAATTTGGCGCGCCTGCGGCGCGCCGTTTTTATGCTATGGCCCGGCGAAAAAAGTGGGGGCGTTTAACGCCCCCCCCCCCCCAGCAACTCGCGGGTTAAGTAATGAGTTTCAATAACTCTCGAGCAGAGTAAGCTTGCGAGAATGCCGTCATAATGTTTAGAAAGATTTGTCGAATCGAATGGTATACAATATATGCTCGTCCTACTTCGTGATCTGAATGGCTTTGAGTTTTAACCTAACCATCCTAATTTGACAGCTCTCTCCTCACTCGACGCGTCCAAGCACGATGAATTCGATGGTGAAAAAATGTTGGCTCTGCGAGCATTTTTAGCGAAGTTATTTACCAAAACCGGACTCCTTCACTGAGGCGTTTTGACCTGATCTCAGGCTGGTCACCAGCTGGCTGAAGATTTTAAAATTAATTGAGCATCAGACACTGCGCCTCGTAATGGCACAGTCGCTCGTTTTTTTTTTCTGCGAAGCTCTAGCTCAAATAGGGCGGAGTTAGCTAGGGCTGCTGGGTCGATGGATTTTCGGTGACTCCGACTCCGACTCGGACTCCAACTCTGGGCAAAGTTGTCGACTCCGACCGAGTCCGACTCAAAATTCGCATTGGCGAGGGCCGAGGGGACAACCTCTTTGGCCTAGAAGACCGAAGGTCCGGTGATGGCTGATAAAGTAGCCGAGACCGCCCGGACGGAAAGGATGTGTCCCAATGGTGGGTCTCCCTGCCAATCGTAATTCGTAGCTACCGGTCAAACGTTCAGCCCGGAAAGGGTGTAGTGTGCACCCCTTATGGAAAAGACCTCTCCCCCCGTTACTGGTGTAGATGTCTTATAGGGGCCCTTCACCTTGGTGTAGATAGTAGGGGAGAGTGGGGAAAGATGCCCAGGGTTTTGCTATGTCATATATTATTCGAAACTGACGATGGGAAAGCAAAAACTTGGAGTTTCAACGGAAGCCGACATCATTTTTCTCCAAAAATATCACACTTTCGTGCCTGAAATATTATAACTTTTTTTGCTATTAAGCATTTCCCTGAAGAAGTGAAAGGGGGCATCTTACCCCACAGGGTGGGAAAGACGCCCCCTGACGTTGGGAAAGATGCCCCCTGCACTATAAGTGACATAAATGGGCACGTGAATCGCCTGAACGAATCAGTAGTCCCTTCGAGCCTGCAGTAGACACCAAACGTCATCATAAGGGCCCTCAAAAGTTGTCGTAAGGGGCTTCAGAGGTCATCGTTAGGGCCATCATAGTCCAGCGCGGCCAAACAAGCCTCCGTGGTGGCGTTCGGAGACCACTGTGGGGCTCTTATAGGTCTTCATGATGCTTGAGGGCCCTCGAGCCCATCGTGGGGACCTCCGATGCCAGCGCGGCCCGTGGGGCCAACGTGGGAGCCCTCAAAGGATGTCGTGAGGGGCCCTGGAGCCAATAATGGGGCCCACAGAGGCCGTCGTGAGGGCTCTCAGAGTCAGATGCCGCCCAAAAAGTCGCTATGTGGGCCGAGAGACCGGCATGGGGAGCATCCGACCGTACTGGACTCTCAATAGTCCCAGATCGGCTTTTGTCTACATCACAAGTATTTAATAAATGATTTGACGGGCTGTTTGAAGGACAGCCTACGGATTTAGGGGGGCGTCTTTCCCCATCAGGACAGGGGGCATCTTACCCCAAGGTACCGAAGTAACATTAAATCAGTACAATTTGTTAGCCATAAAACTACACCCTGAAACAAACTGTTTGGGACACAGTACAGGCATGCTAATGCATCACGACTATAGCAAGGGACGCAAAAATTATTTACCTTCTCTAATATTTACAATGTTCGGACACCAAAATATTTTTTGAAAGCAGCAAATAAAAAATATGCAATCATCAGCCACCCGTTGCCCAACTGAGCTTCGCAATTTTTTGTGCAGTTAACAAGGCAGGCTTCCGCTTTACGCTAAGAACATTAATTTCCAGGTCCGATTCTTTGTTTCGCCGCTAGAGGGGGTGGGGCGTCTTTCCCACCCTGGGCATCTTACCCCACTCTCCCCTATGACCTCTGATCTATATGGCAGTAGCGGCGGAACACCCTCAAGCAAGGGGGGGGGGGGCACTGCCGACTTTTGGTCCCATTCTTTCCATGCAACGCCCATAGGGCTAATGCTAAAATGCCAAAATGAAAGGGGGCACGGTGCCCCGGTGCCCTCCCCGTTCCGCCGCCTATGCTATATGGTCATCTTGGACACACATTTTGAGGAAGGATACTAAAAGGTCTTTCCAAGAGCCAGTTAGCGGGAACGGTGGTCAAATGCACGGCAGTCAAAAGTAATTCATATTTCATGGAACCGTGTAAATCGAAAATATTCAATGCATGGTGAATGCTTTAGGGAAAATATCGAAAAGTCTTCAGAAATTTCCTGTGTTTCGCTGAAACGACAAAATTTGATGTGTAGCTGCAAAAATAGTTTCAGGGGCTAGCGTGTTCTGTTTGCCAGCTAAAAGCTATCTCCTGCTAGCGCAAGGAAATGCGCATTGTGATTGGAGGATTCATCAAGGTCGTACAACAGGCTGTCCTCAGTTCTGAAAACACCCTGCTTTCGGAACATTAATAGAACATGATGCTGGCGTCTGTCCATCAATGGGTGGAAAATTTGGGACGGGTAATTTAATTTTAGTTTAATTAATTTATGGTTGTTTCTGATTGTGAGTATAAACTGGCATTTACATTTTTGTTGTATGATATGACTATTCATTACTCCGTTTCCGTTTTCAATTTGAAATGGCTGCTAAGTGCTAGGCTTGTTTTTTGTTGCAGACAGAATACATGAATATTTTCTATTTTGGCTTACAATCCTGGTAACCTGCTGGTTATATGTGTAAATGGGATGACATTCTATTCCTTTCTATGACCATTCCTTTCCTTTTTGTAATACGAGGCCTGATCAAAAAGTATCCGACCCCATTGGTTTACTCGAAGGCCATTAGGCTCAGGTGTGTGGTACCCTGTGTGGATGATGCCTTAATCGTTGTGCACGTGCACACGTATTTTCAGCGTTTACGTCCAGCTCAGTCACTGGCCAGCGTTCCTTGTATGCACGTGCGTACTGCTCGGTCGTCGCATTTCCTCCCAGCGTCAAGATGACCGAAAGAAATGAGCAAAGATAACGCTTCAAATTTTGTCAGAAACTTGGGGAAACGCAGGCCGACACTATCAGAAAAGTTCAGCTGACATTCGGCGATGAAGCGATGGGCGTTACCCAAATCAAGTTCTGGTACAACCGCTTCAAGAACGGTCGAGGTTCAGTAGAGACCCAACTGGAAAAAATGCCTCCACTACGCTGAAGTTCTCGGCGGAGGTGATGCGCCGAAATTTCGGCGCAAGGGTTTATGCGCCGAAATTATTTTACCAAGCCATGCTTCATGCGCCAAAAATTTTCAAGGCTTACTGATGGCTGCAGGCTGTAGCCACGCACTTTTCGTCGAGGGGGGGGGGGGGCTGGCGTGTGTGTGTGGCTGTCTTCCAGTGACTACTGTCTACAGACGGTTGTTGGCACGGTCGACGGGATCGGGCAGACAATAGACATCAGCAGGCCATGCGGGACCGAGCACCAGCGTTCGCTATCACAAAATCTCCTGACTCACAAACTCACTGGCATGTTCCATAATGTAACCTTTATTTTGTTGCCCGGCTCTGATCAGCAGTAGTGCCCAACCGGTGACTGACGCCTGACGGGGCCTTCAACAGGCGTGGTGCAAGCACGGCCGATGGGATCGGGCAGATACCAGGCCACGCGGGACCTATTGCCAGCGTCCGCTCGCAAACCACACGCCGGAAATACAGGAATCACAACGGTCAATACGCACACGATAGCATACGTTATCTGAACTAGGGAATCCGACAATCCATAACCTCACTCTCGACCGGTGAACTGTTCCCGCCGTGGGAGAGTCACAATCAGGTTCACTGAACATG